AGAAGGAATATTTGGATGGAGTGGGGATTTTGTTTAGAGAAATTAAAAGGGATGGAAATATTTTTTATTATGAATTGTGGAAGGAAGGAAAAGAGTCAAAAAGATGGCTTGTCCAATTTGACTCATCTAATGAGGATGTTATTTGTAGCTGCTAAAAATTTGAATCTATAGGTATTCTTTGTTCACATGCATTGAGAGTTTATAACATTAATTGTGTGGTAAGAGTACCAAATAAATACTTCTTGAAGAGATGGTCAAAGAGTGCAAAGTTTATTGATTGTCAACATAAAGAACAATGTGCAAGTAGTGAAGATCCAAAAATTGTCTACCGCAATTCTATTACGCGGTTAGTTTATAACCTGGTGTTGGCCTCACAAGATCACAAGGAAACTCAAAATATCATGTGGGATGTTATCAAGAATGGATCCCTAAAAATTCAGGAACATCTATGTAATTTGAATCAAAGCAGCAATATGGAAATGAGTAAAGAAATTCATGCTCATAATCAAGATGTATCTCAAAAAATAGATCAAATTCTTGATCCACTAAGAGCAAAGCCAAAAGGGAGTGGAAGTGGTAGAACAAAGGGTCATTTTGAAAAGCAACGAAAATCAAGTAAGATATAATTTTTATAAGTATTTGTTATGTTATGTATATATTAGTTATTTGTTTTCCAAATTTATTTATTTTTGGTAGAAAGACAAAAAGGAGTAGAACATGTTACTTCAACCACATCAGAACAAGTTTTTGTTCCCCAAAATAGTGGTTACACTTAACAGGTAAAATAAATGTTCCTACAAAAATAATAGACATGACAGTTATTTAATTATACTTACTGAATATAATTGTAATCTATTATAGGCCAATTCTACTCATATTGTTCCAACAAGTCATTCTATGATTCCACATGTCTTTTGTGGTTCTTGGAATATTAGAAGCCCATTTGACATGATCGATATGAGCAGCAATTTAAATCAGGTATATTTCAACTAGTTACGCTATTATAATAACTTCATCTTTCTAAGATATGTCAATTAATTATATTATTTTGAATTTATTTCAATGCATTTTTAGGAAGTACGTTCAGCAATTTGGAGGCCACCTACGTTTGCACAAAACAAGTAATTACCTTCAAGCATTTAAAGTGAAGCCAATGAAAGAAGATTCTTTTGCTCTCATATTATTTGTACTTTTATATGCTGGAAAGTAAACCAGTAAATGGCTTCGAGCTGGATTTTTTTTGATGCTTAGTTCTTTTAATCATAGAAGACATGAGCAAGCTGGATGTTTTGTGGTTCAGCTCTTTTAATATATAGTCAAGTGGATATATTTGTACTTTTGACCCCCTTGAATACATGGACAGCAATCAAAATGAAGCTTTGTTTGTGGTCTCCTATAAAGTATATTTTAACAGCATCAAAACAGTATATTTTGATAGCATTATGTATTTGCTGTCATATTATATATTTTGGGTGTTGCCCAAAACTAGATTCATGAAACATATTTTTATTAATTGTATGTCTTTTCTCTATTAGGTATTACACCACACTTTGATAGCATCACATTACAGAAAACTAGATTTGTGAAGATTATTGTAGCCTTGGATGAGGATGAAAATCTGAAGGTTTAAGAGATATCTTCAGCTTTTTAGATCCCAGAATGACCCTTTTCTCTTTTAGAGCTATTTTTAGTTTTACTTTCAGTACTAATCCCTAATTAAAATTTTGAGTTTCAGCCCACATTAGTACATAGTGATTTTGATTACTGAAAGTTGTTGTTTCATTACTACTGACAGTGTGATTTTGATTTGGAGAGCTTTTGGGTAGGAAGTTTTGATATTGTAATAGTGTAGTTAGTTTTGTGTACTTCATCATGAAGATTGTAATAGCTAATTTTAGCTTGTAACCTCCATATGAGATTGAATAAATCAAGTTTTTTGGCACTTTCCTTGATGTTATGTCTATGGATTTGAGTAGTTTCAACAATGAATACATGGATAGCAACCTGATAACAGGTCGTGATATGTTAAGTTTTAACATATTTTGCTTTCAATACATTTGAATCAATTTTGTAGTAAACTTGCTAAATTGTGTATATCTTGATCAGGTTACTATTTTAGTGTTTTTCGCCATCCATGCAAAAAAGAGATGGAACATATCACCAAAAATGTCTAATAATTTATTGCATTTAATAGATATCCACAGTACAAAGACAAACATCTGGAAGGGAAGTAAATACTAAACTTGTCCTATGCTGAGAATTACAATCAAAACTAATAAAGAAATGAAGACTAATATATCAAGAAGTTGAATCCCTTGTGCAAGGAAACTAATCACGAGCCGTGCCCCATGCAATCTTGAGTCTTACATTCCATGATAAAGCTGACTTCCCTTCATCATTCACATCCAATCAATCATCCAAGCTTTCATTCTCCAAGGAGGGGTAAACTATGAATTTGTCCCTATCAAACTGAAATGTATTTCCTGATCTGACCACAGTTGTCAGAGAGTTTCTTGATACCTTGCTCCATTTGGAAGAATTGTGCCCTTTACACAAGACCAAACCCACCATGATCAGGCACGTTTGCTGGTTGAAATTGTGCAGAGTTTCCTCTGCAAAAGGAATTGCAACAGAAACAATGCCCAACAACAAGCTAGCCTTTTTCAACTTGCTTCCTTGAATTGCAGCACTAGAAAAATTCTGCAAAGAATCGTATGCTCATAATCTAATCTTTAAAGCATTCCATGTGAGCAGTGGGGCCAACGTGAACCCTGAGAATATCAAGAGGCTATACAAATTTACAAATTTCAAGCATACCCATCATATGGAATTGCAATATTCATGGTCTTTCGCAATATTTATTGCTTGTCTTCGCTAATTGTCGAATACTCAGAACAAAGGAAAAAATATGCAGACTAAAAAAAAAAAAATCTCTCTCAAAATCACCGACTTCTACAATTACCAAATTCAACATACCATTTGGTTTCAATTAAAGTAACTCCCTGAACAAAACGAAAGGCAAATAAAGGAACATAGAAATTTTGAGCTGTTGGAATGAAATTGGTACCGAAAACCTTAATAGGATTATTTAGGGAGGGAATCGCGTAAGATCTAGATTGAATCAAAGAAACCCAGGACTTGAAGAAGAAAAAGAGGGGGGACAGTAAGAAGACAACCACCAGATTGAGGAAGTTCACCTATGCCGTAGACTAATTTGAGGATCGTAAAACTCGGCATAAAAAGAGAAGCCCCTTGCATAATCAATGGCGAGAGAGAAGCGACCAACCCTCTAAGTAATTAGTCCAGAGTAATCGACATTGAGAGTGCTGATGGCCGATGATGGTTCCATCCCCATGGCACCCTTGTGGCGTCAGGCAGAGAAGGATGCAGGGAGGGAGAGATGGGAGAGAAAGAGACGCTAGGGCAATTTTTTTTTTTTTCTTTTTTTTTGAAATTGTGAATTATGAAATTTATTATTAATTAACTTAATAATGTGAATAGGTGGCTGCCAGGTAGATTATCATGGAGTGAGTTGTTTTTTCCTGATTGGACAGACCGCATATTACATGGCACTCTAGGTTCACCTAAGAATTTCTTCCCGGGCAGGGGCGGGAAGATGCATTGTCGCTTGCTCATCTTTCGGACTAATCACTCTCGCCTCCAGCTCCGATCTCGCTCCTCGAAAATCGCACGCAGACAACGTTTCCCAGCTTTTCACTTTCCTCTCCGCCATCGCTCTCGACCTATCATTCTTGCCGTCTGCCCATCGCCTCTCACCCCCACCTGTAAGCTTTTCGACTCTCTCCCACTGTCCTGTCTTTTGGAGTCATATACTCTCGTATTTGGGGATGTAAGAGTCTTGCTTATTTATTATATGCAGTGCCAATATTTTCAGTCTTCGTTGGCTTATAGTATGTATATCTAGTCTACCTGATAAATTTGTTTGGTGTTCGCCTTCCCATTACGGTCGCTAATGCGAATTAAAACTATAATTGATTCTAATGTTCTCTTGAACTAGACAAATTCTTGTTTAACCCTCGTAGTAAAGGCTTTTTCTTGAACAGTAATCTGATAATGAGTTAATGGGCGTGGTGATCCAAATATGTGCTGGTCTACTAGAGGAAAGAGATGGAGATTGAAGATTTAAAGTTGTTATTTTTGGTCTGTGCTGGAAATGGAAGATTTGATATCTTTTTAGGCCATGAATGCATACACTCACGCACATATAACAGGAAGGAATCGAAGAGGGATTTTTATGTGAGAATTATTGTGTTTGGAATCGGATACAAATCATGCCTCTGAGGATTTTCATGCCTCGCGGCTCGTGCAGTTTGTCCCACATTTATATTCATAATTCTCTGATTTTATGTATATATAATTATACATGCCTCCTTCGCACTGAAAATTAGGGGAAATATTATATTATTCCTGTCCAATTACTTGAGATTGTAATTGGCCCAGCTAAGTATGGTTAGTTTGTCCAATAATTTGAGATTTTAATTGGCCCAATCCCAGCTGAAGTATGATTTTGTTTTCCCCAAAAAAAATAAATAAATAAATTCTGGACTGAATAGGACACGATGCTGCTATAAAGAAAGGGGATTGGATAAGTTGTGATTAGGGGCAACAGTGGTATCTTTCTGGAGGGTATTGATATGTATTATGAAGTTGTAATAAAAGGAAGTTAGTTAACTAGTCCTTAAGCCTATAATAAAGGGGATTGAGCAAGTTATATTGGACTTGTGAATAGTAATAAGTGGATGGAATAGAGTTTCCTTTCTACCTCTCCCATATCTCTTTTTGCCTCTCTTCTCTGTTCTTCTCTATCTTCTCTCCCATTCTCCTTCTTTCCCCCGCTTACTCTCTCATTCTTCATTACAATTCTCCAACACTCATCCTTTCCTTTCCTTCTTTGCGATGCTTTGGTCTGAATTTAAGGGTTTTGAATTTGATTCTTAAGATTATCAATTGTAACTAACTTCCTTCAATTACAGTTACACATCAGAGAGGATGAGAAGAAAGCCTGGAATCGGAGGCTTACAAAATGCTGCTGCTGCGAGGAATCAATTTCGCCTGGTGGGTGAAAATGTGGCCAAGATTAAAACCGATATGATGAAGGGGCAGCTTGCAACATTCCGATCCCAGCTTGAGGAGTTTGCTCGCAAGCATAAGGCCTGTCCTTTTCTTCCTTTCGTGTAATTAGCTTTGACTTGAAGAGTTAAGTTTTTTGTTCTGGGGTTTATGGAAACTTACATTTGGTGCACCAAATGGCTGGTTTCAGTTCAATATCAGTGTTTTTGTCAGTTTCTTATTTATTTACTTGATTTAAAAACAAACGAATTGTTACTTTATGAGACCACTTTTGATTATGGGATTCATACCATGTTTAATTTGGATAGGAATTCAAAAGAAGTGTGTGTAAAGTGCAAACACAGCTGCTTTTAGTAATGTGTATTTGAATTGTACAAGAGTAGGAGAGGAAGACAAGAAATTGGATGAATGTAATATCATAATGGTAGATGATGGTGATGAAACCTCAAAGGCTTTTGAACTTATCATAAGGTATAGTTCCGTTCTGCAGTTAATGTATAAGGTATAGTTCCGTTCTGCAGTTAATGGATACATGTTTTTTTCCCCCTTGACACATGGATAAATGTTTGGATTCAGATTCAGTTTCATTCTTTCCCTTCCCATTCTGTTACCCCTATAGATCAGTGATTGTTTTGTATTTGTTTCTTTGAAACAAAAGCATTTGCACTTATTATTGGAGTCTATAATCTTCTGTTGATAAATTGCCTACTTCAATTCCATCATTAAGTGGCATATCTGCCAATGTAAATAGTTTTATAAATCAAATCCCTTCTGAATCTTCAGCTTTAAAGTTTTCTACTTTCCTGAAAGCTTAACTGGTTTAGACATCTTGGAGCTTCAAGGGAATGATTAACTAATGACTTGTGCTGTTTATACCTCATGCCATGGCCTTGTAATGCAGCCTCGCTGTGAAATCCTCTATGATGTATTATTGAATAAGTCACAATAATATTTAATATTACTTGTTCAGAGTGACATCCGCAAGAACCCTGCGTTCAGATCACAATTTCATGAGATGTGTGCTAAAGTTGGAGTAGATCCCTTAGCTTCAAATAAAGGTTTCTGGGCAGAGCTACTGGGAATTGGCGACTTCTATTATGAACTTGGTGTAAAAAAAATTCTTAGTCTTGGTTCCTTTCCACCAAATACTTCTCCTGTGTATATACTCATTGTTTCTGTAGTAATCTTCACAGGCTATTTCTGATAATTTGCAACTTATAGGAGGGTATGTTGAATATCATAGAACAAAATATAAATTCGATTACTAGCTAAACTTATTTTGGTAAAGAAACATAACTGGGCCAATTCAGACACCTTGGGTAGCAAACATAGCAATGAATCTGCATATTTCCAGAGCTGCTTGCGGGGAAAGAGTGAGATGTAAAGAATATTTTCAGTGTTTAAGAACCGTGTGCTAGCATATAGTGGCAGGAGACCATTGGATAAATCCCCGACTATGAGCTTTCAATGTTACACTGCACATACTAACTATCCACTAAATTAAGTAATCTCAATTATGTTTTGTCTATATCATCAGTAAATCTTTTCACATTATGATATAATCTAATTTCCTATAATTATAAAGCTGTTTATTGTTTTCATTTTGTATAAATATTTGTCATTTTGCTAGTAATCTATCAAACTTAGATTCTGTCATTTAATAACATCTTTACTAAGATAAACTGCTTGGCTTATCAGGAGTTCAAATAGTGGATATCTGCCTGGCCACTAGAGCCCACAATGGAGGACTGATCAACCTGCAAGAACTCTGTCGTTTACTTTGTCAGCGACGAAAAAGTGATCGTGGATCTGTTTCTGAGGATGATTGTCTGCGTGCTATCAGTAAGCTGAAGGTCTTATATTTCAGCTTGCCCATAAATTTGAGTATAATTATTGGAGTTATGAATCTAAAGTTGATACAGTAATTAAGACTTTGGTTACATGATTTTTCTTGTGTTGAACTTGTATCCAGTCATAGCGTAGGGCTGTAAGCTTTCCTTTGAGCCTTTCTGTTCTAATCCTCCTAACCTGTTCTGTGGTTGATATCAAGTCACTAACCACTACTTAATCTCTTTATTCACATCTAAAAAATTATTATAATATAAATTTCCTCTAATGTCCTCGTTACCTACACCTAGAATGGGAACTGATATATATGGTTCTGTCAGGCTACCAGAGCCCTTTTATGTTGATCAAACTCCAAAATTCAACTTCTATGATAGTGACTATTGAAAAGAAGAATAAATCTAGCATGATTCAAAAGATTTGTTTTTTTTTTTTAATTTTAGCTGCTGTTTTTTTCTTTTTCTTTGATAGAAGCTTGTCTTAGCCTTCTAGTGCTTTCTCATCTCTTTATGGCTTCTTTTATCCTAAAGGAAAAGAAATAAAGGAAAACAGAAGAGTTGCATGAGACTAAAAACTTGATGTTCTCTTAGTAATTCATTGATTTGTACATCCAACCAAGAATCGATTAGTTGTCACATTAGGACCCTAACTCTGTGCCTTCTTTACTTATCCTATGTGGTTATTTTTCATTGCATCGATCTTGTAGGCAGATGTTTGACTTTTGTTACATGAACTTCAGGTGTGGGTAGTGGTTTTGAAGTTATTTCTGTTGGGAAGAAAAAACTTGTTCGTTCAGTTCCCACTGAGCTAAACAAAGACCACAATGAAATTCTAGAACTTGCTCAGGTTAGAACTGTTTTCTTCTGAGTTATGGACTTTTTGACCTGCTGTTGTCATGAATTTTCTTGAACATGCTTGGTAAAAACCCAATGTGTCCATAGGATAAATATCTTAAAGAGGGTTAAATCTGATTTCTTAAATTAACTTGGAAAGCATCACCAAATAACGGTTCAGACCTAACTTGTTGAGGATTCTCTTAGCAGCCAAAAAAAGGACAGTATCAGGAATTTATCCATGACCAACCTTCTTGTAAAATAATCTTAATGAAGTCTGAAGTTTTGATGTAAGAAATGAAGGAAAATTCCTAACTCTTCAATGGTTATGTCTGACCTATCATGACAACTTTGATACAAGTCATATTGGTGCTAAATTTTTATGATGTAAAGTTCAATTCCAATATATTGCCAGCGATCTCTTGAGAAATATTCTTAGTGGTGCTCTGGAGCATGATTACCAAATGATGTCACTGAACTGGCTCGATTAAAATTTATGTAAAATTCATATCTGAATGTGGAAAGCATGAACAAACTTAGAATGATCACTTACCAAGTGTAGCAAAAGCCTCATTGTGCAATCGGTTTGCTAATTCAGAAAGATTTGTTGTCTTCTGACATTTCCATGGATTCTTCTGCACTTCAGGCTCAAGGTTTTGTGACTGTTGAGGAAGTGGGGAGACGGCTATCTTGGACTCCAGGTCGCACTATCGATGCCCTTGAGACCTTACTTAAAGTAAGTTTTCTAACCAATTTTATTTTGTCAGCTTCTTTCCTTCTTCGTAACTTATTAAAACATGCATCAACCAACCCAAGTTCATGGAATGGTAAAGAAATACTTTTTATTGATGCAGGAAGGACTTGCAATGATTGATGATGGTCATAGAGACGGTAAACGCAGGTACTGGTTTCCCTGTGTATCACCCATTTCTTCTCTAATGACCGCTGATTCCTAACATTAGGCTCATCAGAAGAGCATCTGTTGAAGATTATTAAGGACCTGGAATCGCATTGTGCACTTAGTTTGTTACTCCTGTTTTCTCCTTTTTCTTTGTCCTGAAATGTGTGATTTGTTTTCTGCAAATCTGCTGATATATGTAAATAGTATACTGGGGTCTCAAAAAGTATATGTTTCTTAATTTAAAGAATCGCACACGAGGTTAATACTTGGATGCTTGTTGATCTCATCTCAAGGCCCCTTGTACTCCTTTCCCAATTGCTTGGAACTAACGAGCACTGACATAACTACAGGACATGATATGATAGGAATACGATACTACAATATCAATATTCAATATATATAATTAACTAGTATAGGTCGACGTATTGTTTGCCTCTTAGGCAAGTCAGCTTGTGCTAAGCATAAGAGCTATTTAACTAGTAATTTATATCGATAAAGAAAATTAATTAGTTAGGGTTAAACCCACAACATGTTGTTATACTTTTGATGAGTTTTCATTGTTTTCTGTACTGTACTTTATGTATTTGTAATGTTGGTCCCTATGGTTTCATAGGGACCTGTATAAGAGCTTAATGGTATTATCTTCGTTTTATTTAGTGATAACATCGTAAAATAGGTTGACATGGACAGCTGACTAACATGACCTATCAGCAAAGACTGGATAAAAATCAAAACTCAATATAGCGGCAAAAAGTAGGTTAAACTTAATAAAAATGACGGAAGACAAAAAAAAAAAATTTATTTGACTGACATAATCCATTTGGGAGAATAAGCAAGCTATCATCAACATCGATATTATTTGCGTGTTTTAAAAAGAAAGAGTCAAGTGACAGAGAATTTGTAGCTTAAAAGATACCATGACTCATGTATACTTCTTTTGGTTTTTTTATAAGAGGCGAATAACTAATTTTCAAGCTTAGTAATATATCCCTATTTTATAATATATTTTTATATATAACTAAAGGATTTTATAATGTTTAAAGGGTTTAAAATGCAGAAGATACTTATATTTTGAATTAAGAAAATTATGTAAATTAATTGCTTAAAAGTGTATTTTTATTATTTTTTATAATTTCTCTTTGAAAGGTATCTTTGTTTTGATTCCGGAAAATATTCTGTTAAGCAAAACATGGACCCTATGAAAACTATATTTGTGATAGTCACGTAGCGTTAAAGAGAAGTTTCTAATTATCTAATTGGAAATTATTTAAAATGTTCAGCTAAAATATCTCTTATTTTTCACCACAAATTAAAGAGTTTGAATAATTAATTTCTTTTATGAATAATTCTTTTATCATATTGTGAATTTGAATAAATATTTTATTCATATTCCATTATTCATTTAATTCTCCAAATAGTCACATTATCATTTTTATCCTCTTTCTAAACCCTAACCCTAATTCATCTTACCACCATATCTTTATTCAAATTTAAAATTATCCTTTTATCTAATATTATTAAATTCAAAAGCTTTTTTCCTTTGGCTGCCATAAAGATCATATCAAACTCAGAGAATTCAAATCCAAAGTTCTATCAAGATTATAAGATAAAAGAAGATAAAAGATCAAACTAGAAGTCTTAAGGATTTCCTCATCCAACTAGGATAAGTTCAAGTGCTATAAAAGGGGATTAAGGAAGCCTTAGAGAAAATGAAGCCATCTACACTACACAAGCACAAGCATATATTGGGTTGCCTCTTGTGTTTAGTTGTTTTACTGTCTTCTTTTTATTATTTTCTTTTTATCATTATGGTGTTATCTAGTCATATGTGTGGCTAGTTCTCTTTTTCCCAAGGACAAGATAGCGTGACTTGAATTTATGTTTATATTAGGAAACTTGTTAGTTTTCATATTTCAATCCACTAGTACGTTGCTTTTATGAATTTCCTAGGTTAGGATTTTGATTTCTTTGTGGACTGATAGTTGATCTGTGTTTTAGTGGAACAATTATGTTTTGAAGTTTTCAATAAATATATTTTCAGTTTCCTCATATTTCTATAAGTGTTTATCTTTATAGATTTCTATTTTGATTTACTCAAGTAATTCATGCTCTAGGGTTTTTGATAGACAACTCTCTTCAAGGAAGAAGATATAATTGTTTAATTGAATTCACAAGTTAAGTGGTTTTTAAATAAATAATTGAAAGGTGATTATATGCTAGCTTTCTAAGTATAATTATTAATTAATTAATCACAAGTTAGATGTTATTTAGGGTTTTTTCTTTTGACTTAGTAATTGCTTTTATACAAACTTCTCATCTTTTTTAATCGTGATAGCCACTCATCAATGTCCTTCGGAAGTGCACCATTTTGATAAAGTCTTTGTTCCTTTTGCTTTCTTTTAATTATTGTTATTTCCTTTTATTTTTCTTAATTTATTTTCCTACAAAAATCAATCAATTTTCTTTCCTACTACTTTCTTCTCTACATCACATTTTTTCTCAATTAAAAAGGTTTTCAAAATTTTAACAAAGCTCCTCATAGAGAGAGATGACTTAGGTTGATCTCTATACTATATAGGGTTAATTTAGTTAATTAATTTGAGAGCTTACACGACAGGACAATCAAATTTTGGCACTGCTGCCGGGGAGCCAAGTTTCTTTTGACTCTTTTTTAATTGTGAAACTTGATATTTCTTATCTACATCTGCATGTGTGTCTTGTTTTTTCTTCCTCTTCTTAATGTGTAGTAGAGTCTTAGTGTTTTCGGTTTGATAATTTTCAAGTTATGCTTACTGTTTACTGGAACTATCTTCGAACGTGCTCAGAAAAATTCAGAAATATTTATATTGCATGTTTTTTATGCTCTAAGCATTTTTAATAGCTTTAGCTATTAGGTCTGATTGAAACTTGCCAAATTCAAATGTTTTCATAACATTTTCGGTTTGTCTTAATTGTTTTTCATTTCCCCCCTCTTTTTATCCTGAACATTAGCTACTAAGGATTAGGTATATTCAACATAATTAATTATACTTTCATGGCCTGATATAATAACAATTACCATTTTAATTATCATCTAACTGTGCCCTCTTATTCTTTCACAGATTATAGCACTTTAAGGGCTCAAGCATGATTGCTGATTTCTTCTATTTCACAAAATAATCATGAACCATTTTTTGAATATTGGAACTAATTCCAAGGTGTTTTGGATAAGTATCCATATCACCAAATCCCTGAGGAACAACTTGTAATATACTTTTATAAGGGATTGAAAGAGCAAGACCGAAAAATAATAGATGATGGAGTAGGAGGAGACTTGTTAAATCTAACTATTGGCAAAGCTTGGGAGATTTTTGGGATAGCCGCTATAGACAACTACCAATACACCATTCGGATGAGTCAACCAGCCCAAAAACCATATCATTAACCACTCTTTCTACCACATAGATCCATTATGAACCTCCTTTTATCCCATATGAACCACCTTATGAAAGTATGCCATGTCAAGAATCTCCTTTGGATGTGGTGATGAGAGACATCTAAAAATTAAATGACCAAATGAATAAATTTGCACTTGAAATAGACAAAATGGCTGAGCTTCTCATGAACACTATACAAGAAAATCCATCTCCAACACCTACCTTTGACATACGCATGCAAAAAGAGGAGGAAAATCAAGTATATCTTCAAATTCCAAAGAATCTCCTCCTTCTTTCGGTAATGTATCTCCTATCCTTGAAGAAGTTGATCCTTTTTGGATTTTATTTTTATATTGAAGCAAGTGAAGATGAGGTTGATGAGGAAATAGTTGTTGAGTCACCTCTCAATGTTCAAAAACGCTATACCTATTGCTTCTAGTAGTGAACATGCTACCTCCACATCCTTGTATGACTATCCAAATGTCAACTATGCTTCTCTTCCTAGTGCTAGAGATGATGATAATAGTACTGAAGTCAAAGAAACTATTTTCACATGTGAATTTGATAAAGAAAATGCTTCTACTCCTGATCATGATTGTATTCTTGCACTAGTAATGTTGTTAGTCATAAGCATATTATTTGAAAAGGTTGAGCCTCATTTGAATGCTAATATTGATAATAAAGATGAGAATACCCATAGTCTTGAGGGTCATAATCCTACTCATTCTATGAAATTACTTGAAATAGTGACATAAAAGGGAAGATCCTACAATTTCTCCTAAGCAATTTACACATGCTAATGAATCTTTCCAGCAAATTCTTTCTTGTGATTTGCCACCAGATGTAAGCATGCCTATTATTGATATAATTACATCTTTGGAACCCAAGGCTGTTACTGAAGGGAGTCTTATTGATTTTATTGGATGAGAGAATTATCTTTGCTTATCTTATTATAAACATCTCACATCTTTAACTTTGATAAATAACATAGAATGCTTAAATTCTTTTCATGGGTTTAAATATTTTTGTTCTAGCCCTTTACTTGGTGTTGGAAAGGCATTGCTTTGGATTTGTTGAATTCTTTGCAGGGACTTCACTTGGGAGACTTCTATAGTGCTTACTCTATTTACTACATTTTGGCACCTCCACAAATTGACTCTGAGCCACCACCCCAAACTACTAGAGAGGGCTATAAAAAGAGGATCTGCTTGAGTAAAAGCATGTTTCTCATCATAGAGATGAGAATTTCAACTTCGAGACACTCAAGTGGCATAAATGCACTAGGTTGTCTCTTTCTTTTTCTTATCTATTTTTGATATATTTTGAGCCTTATTACTTAGGATAAGTGTGGAGGGAGAGACAATTTTAGTAGGAAAAAAAATAGTAGTATTTATTATACTTTATGCAAGTAAGAAATCCTACATATTCATTGTTAGCTGTAATAATTTGATTAATTATTATTCTTAAGGTCAATAATTGAAATAGGGGAAATTAATGTCTTGTGATTAATATGCTATTCAGTTTATTAATGTGAATTACTTCATGAGTAATAAACCCTTATTGGAAGGTATTTTGAGCCTAATTTTTTCTTTCTTTGTGTGTTTTCATTTGTTTTAGTTTATTCTTCAGGACTTGTCTTAATTCTTTTTATAGCTGCCTAATTCATGTGTAATTCTTTAAAATGATTGAGGCTTTCATATTCTAAACACTTTTATCTCAAATGCAAGCCAAATTTATATGTTATCCATAGTTACCCCTTTGAGCCCAATGCTTTTCTTAAATTCTATCTTATAGTAAGTATATATGTTTGTATAT